CTCGACTACGTCATCGGCGCTGTGGAAGTGGAAGATGTCTCGGACAGCTCCAACCAGGAAAAGATTGCCTTCAAGTACGTCCCAAGTCGTTGTCGCGCATACTAACCACAGATATCCCTACTTTGCTTCTGAGGTGCTTAGCAGCGAGATACCCGAAATCTCCCTGGTTCTCTTTCAAAACGCACAGGCGCTGCTCGCGCCCTTCTGGGACAATTTCCTCTCCACTCCCTCGGATGCATTTGAGCGGCCCGTGCCCCTGCATGCCCATCCGCTCACTTCGGCGACCTACGTCAAGTCGGAGGTGGGGAACCCCAGCGATGACAACGAGGAAAAGAAGCAGGAGGAGAAGTCGACCGGCGAGACGGTCAAGTATTCGGGCCGCTCGCACGGTCCTGGGCACACGGTGTTGGCCGGGTACTGGTCCAAGGTGAACATGGCGTTGCTTGAAAAGCATCCGCAGGAGATGCTGGCGTTTGTGCAGACGCTGCCGACAGCCGTCGAGGGGCTTGTGTCGCACTTTGAGACGTCGTCGGTGGTCGACCTCCTGTTCCGCCTGATCCAGACGGAGGATTCCGTGCCGGATGCCGGCATCATCCAGTGGTTCGCCGACAACGACCTGATTGCGCGTATCGTGTCGCTCCTGTCCCCGCATGTCTCGACCGAGCAGCACAAGGCGGCGGCCGAGTTCCTTAAGGCGATCATCTCGCTGTCGGCGCCGTCGCCCTCGGCACTCAACCAGATTACCATGCAGGAGACCTTTGGCGGGCCGGGCGAGATGCTGATGGGTGCCGGTGGTGTCAACAACCTGCTGGTGCGCGAGCTCGCGAGCGAGGAGACGGTGAACAAGATGACCTACTTTATGCTGGACTTCAAGCCGACGTTCAAGCCGTTTGCGAGCGGCAGCGGCTCCGAGGGCGCAGCGTCGCGCAAAGCATCGATGCGTGGCGCGCTTGACTCTTCGCTGCCTGCGCTGCGCGAATCGCTCTCGTCGGACGAGTCCGCGGTCGAGGAAGAAGAAGAAGACGACGACGATGACGAGTGGCAGTTGCGGCTCAGTTTCAAGAACCGTCGCATGTCGCTCGCGCAAGGGATGAACGGCGGCCGCGGCCCCGCGCACCGCGACTCCACGGCGACGGTGCGCCCGTCCGACCTACGCCGCGACAGTATTGTGCGGCAGGGCCCCTCGCAAGCCGCCATCACCTCGTCGTTCACCAACTGTGCCGGAGTGTTTATCGAGCTGATCCGCAAGAACAACAGCGACTACTTCGAGCAGCACCTGTTCCACACGCTGCGCAACTACCTGCTCCTCCGGCAGCAAGAGGTCTCTGGAAAGCGCCAGCAGGAGCGCCTCGCGCAAAAGGCGGCCGAGGGACAGTCGGACAAGCAGGACCTGACGCTGGAGGATCTTCCGTTCGAGGACGACGACGACGTCGAGGGCATGGAGGAGGCCATGGCCGAAGTCGCTGAAAAGATGGGCATCGTCCACCTTGGGCCGCTGCTCCAGGTTCTCTCCAGCAGGATACCCGATTTGCAAGAGATGATGAAGAGCCCCAAGCTGGCGGTGCCGTTTGTTTCGACGACTCTGGGACAGATTGAGCCGCTCACGCAGACGCGCTACTGCATCGCCGAGCTCTATGCCGAGATGCTGCACTGCTCCAACATGGTCTTGCTCAACCGCGAGCCCAATGTCGGGCCGCAGTACTCGCCGACTGGCACGCTGCTCGGCGGCATCGAGGGCCTTCAGCGGCTCGCGCGTGCGCTCCAGGGCGATGATGGCGGGCCGCTGTTTGAGTCGAACGAGTCGTCGAGCAGCGCCGCGCAGCACAGCGCCCCCCAGCCTGAGCTGCACGTCGAGTGCTCGGACGACGACGAACCGCCCGCCGAGGCGCCGACCACCTCCACTTCGAGTGACCGGCTAGCGGCGCCGGCGCCCGGGAGCGTCAGTGGGCACAGCAGCGAAAGCGAGTCGTCCGACTCGGAGGCTGACAACGCCGCGGACGATGAGGACGCCAAGAGCATTGCGTCAGCGCTGTCGAGCATGTCGCTGGCCGACCTCACGGCGCAGTTTGCGAGTCGGCCGCCGAGTGTCAACGACGACCACCTGTATGCGACGGTGGGCGACTACCTGAAAAAGCAGTTCTACGACTTCCAGGTGGTGCCGACGCTCGTCGAGCTCTTCTTGAACCACCCGTGGAACAACTTCCTGCACAACGTTGTCTACGACATTGTCCAGCAGCTCTTCAACGGCGACATGGACGCCGGCATCAACAAGAAGCTCACCATCGCCACGTTTGAGCAGGCCGGGCTCATCGACGCCATCCTCGAGGGCTCGCGGCGCAACCAGGAGTCGAGCAGCCAGCTGCGCCACATCCGCCTCGCATTCATGGGCCACCTCAATCTGATCGCCGAAGAGGTCATCAAGCTCATGGAAAAGTACCCCGCGGCCGTCGGCGAAAGGGTCAAGAGCTGCTTCCCGCAGCCCGATTGGGACACGTTCGTGAACGACGAGCTGCGCGTGTCGCGTGTCAAGGAGGCCATGCCGCTCGCCGGCGGGCGCCCCAACGCCAACGCCAGCAACGAGCAGAGCTGGAACAAGGACTCGGACAACTGGTATGCGGACTCTGAGGGGAACAACACTTTCGCACGCTACCTCTCGTCGCAGATGCGCAACGAGTCCACCGAGGACGAGGCGCAGGAGAACGACATCCTCGCACAGCTCGAGGAGCGCACCATCGGCTCCTTCCCGGGCGACGACGCAGACGGCGACGAGGACGAGTGGGGACCGTTCTCCGACTCGAACCACGCCTCCGACTTCAACTTCATCTCGACGGGCGCCATTGCACGTGCGCAGGCGAATGCCGGGAGCTCTGTGCAAGAAAACCTTACGCCCGCCGACTGGGCCGCCGAGTTCCGGCGCGGGGGGATGGGTGCCATTCCGGCCGACGACGCGGTCGACAACGACTCCGACTCGGACTCGGCAGGCAGTGGCCGCAACCGCGACGACAAGGACGGCACGGACTCGGACGACAACGGCGCCGACGACTCGCCGTTCGTCGACCTGCACAAGCCGGCGACGCTGCGCCAGCGCGCTCAAACCAGCGAGTCGCTTCCGACGGCACGCAGCCCCGAGGCTATGGAGGAGGTCATGAAAAACCAGGGCGAGCGCTGGCCGGCCGCCGAAGCCGGCAAGCACGTGCGGTCGCTCAGCAGCGGCAGCGAGGACCGTGCACAGGACTGGGCCCTGGCTCAGCTACCGCCGGATGTGGAGCCTACCAAGGACGGTCTGCTGCGCCGCAAGCTCTCGGACGGTACCAGCGTCACTGTGCCATTGGACGACGCCGAGCTTATGGCGACCGAGTCCGCGCTGGATATTTCGGACGACGAACAGAGTGCCTCATAGTACACGTCCCCCGCAGGCGAAACGACGTAACGCCGACCCACTTCCCTCCACCTGCCGTGATGCGCACGCGCACGACGGGCGATGCAATCCGCACGTATGCAGCGAATGACCGCCCGTGACTCACTCGGCCGAGCCGGAGATTACCGGGCGGGAGGTGAGATCGGACTGCTTCAGCGCGCAGTTAGTTACCCCGCAGAGCCGTTCGGTAACTGTGTACTAGAATTACCGGGGTTTCTTAGTTTCCTGCATCACCATGACGAACGCATTCATTGTTGGCTCGAAGCGCACGGCATTTGGCTCTTTCGGTGGCAAGCTGAGCCAGATCAACGCTGCTCAGCTTGGTGGCCACGCCGCCAAGGCTGCGCTGGCTCAAGCCAAGGCTGATACCCCCATCTCGTCGACCGTCTTCGGTGTGGTGACCCAGTCGGACTCCACGACGCCCTACCTCTCCCGCCACGTCGGCCACCACGCCGGCCTGCCCATCACGGTGCCGGCCCTGACGATCAACCGTCTGTGTGGCAGTGGGTTCCAGGCGGCGATCAACGCCTTCCAGGAGATCAAGAGTGGCGACTCCGAGGTGGTGCTCACCGGTGGCACGGAGAACATGAGCATGTCGCCCTACACGCTCCACGGTGTTCGCTTTGGCAACACGCGCTACGGCGTCGACCTCAAGCTGGTGGACAGCCTCGCGAGCTCCCTGGTCGACCAGGTGCCCGTTCCTACCCCCATGGGTGTCACTGCTGAGAACCTCGCCGTGAAGTATGGCATCACGCGTGAGCAGTGCGACCAGTTCGCGCTCCAGTCGCAGCAGCGCTGGGCCGAGGCGAACAAGAACGGCGCCTTCAAGGACGAGATCGAGCCTATCGAAGTCAAGGTGAAGAAGGCCACTGAGACCTTCGAGGTGGACGAGCACCCGCGCGCGAACGCTTCGCTGGAGTCGCTTGCGAAGCTGCCCCCGGTGTTCAAGAAGGACGGTGTCGTGACCGCCGGTAACGCGTCGGGTATCTCGGACGGTGCCGCGGCCAACGTGATTGCCAGCGAGGATGCGCTCACCAAGTACGGCCTCAAGCCCCTTGCGCGTATCGTCAGCTACGGTGTGACGGGTTGCGAGCCGTCGCTCATGGGCATTGGTCCCGTCGAGGCCTCGCGTGTGGCTCTCAAGCGCGCGGGTCTGACCATTGCTGATATGGACCTGATCGAGGTGAACGAGGCCTTTGCTGCCCAGTTCCTCGCGGTCCAGAAGGAGCTCGAGCTGCCTAACGACAAGACGAACATCAACGGTGGCGCTATCGCGCTCGGTCACCCGCTTGGCGCCAGCGGTGCCCGCATCATGGCGAACCTGACCTACAGCCTGCACCGCCTCGACAAGAAGTACGCTCTTGGCGCGGCCTGCATTGGTGGTGGTCAGGGTATCGCGGTCGTCCTTGAACGTGTTTAAATAGCTCTTGGAACTGCCTCGATGTGAAAACCTGAATCAGATAAGGAACGCAAAATGAGCGCGTGCGAAGACGCAGGCGGGCAGAGCGGGGTAGGCTTGGCAGCCCCCAAAGCGGATACGACACGTTCTAGAGCGATCTTCCAAGCTTAGAATCTTGAGATTGACTTTATAACTCAGTTGGTTAGAGTACCACGTTAACAACGTGGAAACGGAATTCCGTGGAAGTCCCCGGTTCGAGCCCGGGTAAAGTCATTCTTTTTTATCCTGTGAGATGGCCTATTTTTTGGCGTGCGACCCGGCGAATATGTCTTTCCAAGCCAGCAGAACTTGGAGGGTATCACGATCTGCTGGGTCGTCTTGAGGTCGAGGATGCTGTTCATGAGCACGAATCCATTCATAGAGGGTGAATGAGACCACGTTCGTGGCTTCATTCGCATAGTCGAGCGAATGGGGGACGCCAAGGTCCAGCAGCCATTCTGCGTACTCCAGCTTGTTTTTCCGGCACTGCTCATTTGCTAGCGGGAATGTGGCCGAGCGCGAAAAAAGATGCTGTGCCCAAAGGAACAGAGGCATCGCAAAGGCTTGCATGGCAACCGCAGGGTTGTGCAATTTGTCCGAAGGCAGGAACATGATGTTCCGGAAGTTTTGCAGGAAGGTAAATGCCCCGCCACAGTCTTCCAGTGTGTAAGTAGTCTCGTTAGGTGTAGAAATACAGGACAGCAACTGCTGCAAAGACGTCTCCAGCATCGAAATATCGCGGACAATTTGCACCTTTTCGTCTTCCTCGTGCAGTCGGATCAAGGTCACGAACAGAAGGAAAGCCCGCAAGACAAACTGCACCAGGTCTTTCACTGCCGTCTTGACCTCGTCTAAGACCGTAATACGGTTCAGAACGCCGTTTCGGAGCGACGTGAGCCGTGCATGCAGCTCCAACATATAAGTACTCACTGGAGCTTTGTTCGGATGGGCTCCTGGCGCCGCTCTTGCCTTTTCGAGCTTGAACCGGGACATTCGTGCCAATACGCTCACCAGCTCAGCTTGAACCGACCGACACAATGGATCCATCAGGTCCTGGTGAAGTATGCGGCTCGCCGTTCGTTCCCATTCCAAAGCCTGTTCAGAAACGTGGGCGTGAAGCGAATCAGAATGAGCGCGAAGGTCTTGTAGAAAGGCGATTAACACAGCCATCACAGCTGCATTTTGCAACTGCTGACGGGGGGGCTGCGGCTTTTGAAGTGTATATGCCAAGTCGTCGCGCGAAATTTGGGTACTCAGGTCGACGAACATAGCATTGATCGCAGAAGAAAGCGTCTCGGCCACCCTGCTCGCCAGTCGCTCGTCGGTAGCACATGCGCTGGACTCGGTCGTAACAATGCGCATCAGGGCGTGAGTCAGCGCAGGTGTGTCTGCCGCACTGCTTGGGCTGGACAGGAGGGTATGCACAAATTGTCGCCTCTCGCCCAATTCCTGGGTCACAGTTCGCAAGTACGACTGTTCAAGTTCGCCCAGCAGAGAGAGTACAGATTTCGGCCAATCTTCGTAGCCTGTCGGCACAGACGACTCGTCTGTCAGCAGTGCGATTCTCGCGAAAAGCTCCTTAAAGATGACCAGCAGATGAGGGTAGGTCGAAGTCACAATGAATCGCCAAAAGTCAGACTCCTCAATGCACTCATGCACAATCATGCGAAAGTTGCGCGCAAAAGACATCCATAGCAGGTCAGTTGGCTTTTCGTGCAATTGCTGCGTAAGTATTTCGACATACATGCATCAACGACTCCTGGAGTGTCGCGCCTGACTTGCTGGTATGCTTGGAGCGCAGGACATACTCGAGCATGTTAATCTTGGTAAAAATGGGTGCCATCTCATCGACGATTAACGAGCGCAGCTGCGTCCATACGCCCGATGTCCACTGTTGCAAGAGTTGAGCATCCTCGGCGGTCAGCGCACGGTCTGGAAGTTGGTAATGCATAGAGAGCAACGTCTTGAAGGAGAACGATGGTGGCTGCGCTTTCCCGAGCCCCTTGCCAATAGTATACAAATCCAGGGCCGAGCGGATGCGCTCGAGCAAGACGGCATTGAGGTCCTCGATGAAGCTCTCGACCAGGCGCGCTAGCTGGTTGCGATGCTCAGCTGCCTGAAGCGCAAGACCGAGAAGCGCGGGCGACAGACTCCGAAGGCCGTACAGTAACGTATTCTCGACCTGCTCCTGGAGCAGCTGCGACGCATCTGGCAGCAGCGCCAGGTGCGGCGCAAGAAAGTCGAGCTGTACACAGTCCTCCCGCAGCTGCTTGTCCAGCTCGTCCTCATCTTCCCATGGCTCGAGCAACTGCTCCAATTGCTCCAGTGTGATGCAGGCAGACAGAATGTGGGTCGCCTGTTGCTGCATCAATTTGGGATCTTGTCCGGAGCCTGCCGCCTCCGAGCCAAGAATGGTATCCATCTGAGAAGACAATCGTGTGCACAAAGCAATCATCTCTTGTGCACGGAAAATGAGCTCTTCTCTGTCCTGCAGCGCTTCGAGGTGCGTCTGGTTTTCTTCGATGCGCCGAAGCGACGACGTGACATTCGAGCGCGCGCTGCGTCAGTTTCCATCGCACGTACGATTTCACACGGTGATGGAGCTTGTTAAACTCTTGCAAGATTTCGGACACAGAGTCACGAAGAGGCGCGACGTTGGTGACGCGCTCCAGGAACTGCGCCGAATGCAAGGTGATCTGGGATGAGATTCGCACTTACCAGACCATGAATGTCCTGGTCGACCTCCGTGATGGATACATTCAAGCGGCTCAGTGCAACACGCATGTCCGTGTCAACTGAAGCTACGCGGTTCGAGACATCCAGCGTGTTCTCCGACACCGACCCCGGCTCCTGGGGCTGCGCCGGCGAGCTCAGAAACTGACTCGCGTACGTCTGTGCATCAAAGTCATCGCGCAGAAATGCAGCGTGATCTGCGTAAGTAGATCTCACCTACCGAATGGGCCGGATCCGGGCTTTGCAGGGGCCGAGCTTTTCTCAGGGTGGGCCAAGCTCGTGTCGGCCATGGCAGCGCACCTCCGCAATTGTCGAACGCGGAGCGTGCACGCGCACGGGCTGGGAATTATGCAAGAATGGTAGGACCCGGCATCGGCGGGGGCGGTCGGACGAGCATGGACACTGGTTGAAGTGTCTAGGCAGTGTCTATGAGCATGTTTCGGGAGAGTCGTGGTCTATGCTGAGGCGCCCGGTGCTTGCTTTGACCGGCTTTCAATTTCGCGCTGAATCAGCTCCTCCTGCCATTTCTGGATTTCTCTCTCGCTGGCAACGATCCCGCGCTGGCCCAGCTCGCGCATGGCGCGGTTCCGAATGAGGTTATCATGGGTGCGCTTTTCGTATTCGAACCGCTGCAGCGCGGTCTCGGCGGCAAACACCAACCCGATAGAAGCCGCTGTGTAAGTGTATAGACGTGCCTGACATAGTCAAGAACGCTTTAAAGGCCAGCGTCTGGCGTCTTCATGATAAGTAGACCGACGTACCGGAACGAAGGAAAGATGTGGTGCGACGCAAAGACACCGGTAAAGCCTACGAAGCCCCACACCAAAGCTCCGCGAATGCCCGCACGCTGCATGAGCTGCGCATGGCTCTTACGTACCACCTGAACCTGATGCGCATTTTTGACGTTCTCCTTGTCGAACTGTCTCCGCTCTTGGTGGGTGAGCAAACCAGACGAAGACGACCCCGGCGAGTCCATTGCGTTCAACGTAGATCCGGATCGGAGTAGCAACTCAGGGCCGGAGGCACGAATGTGGAGAAAATGCGCCGAAAAAAAGTCATCCGGAAGCCTGCATCATTATGGGCAGCTCGAAGAGCGGTGCGAATTCGAGCAGCGTGGTGGTGTCGCCAGGTACGTGTTCTTCTCCTAATCAAGACGCCCTGCGGTTGGTGTATTCCTTTCTCTATACGCATGCGAAGCCGAAGCTTGCGTCCAAGCTTGCGGATCAATACCCTAAGCTGAATTTGGAGGAAGACGCGAGTCGCGCGGAGGAGCTGTCGAATGCGCTCGTGCACACGGTGACCAGTGCGCTGGCGGTCCCCAACTCTGAAATTTCCCAGGCGCTGAGCGGTGAGAAGAAGAAAGCGCGCAAGTCGGAGGAAAAGGAGTCCAAGAAGTCGAAGAAGGCCAAGGTGCGTGTGCGAAATTGACCGCAGAAGAACGACGACGCACCTGCTGCCGTGGTCGAGGAGCCCGATGCGGCGAATGAGTCTGTCATGCAGGTGGACACCGCGGAGGCACCTGCGACTGCGCCCGAGACGGTCGCCGAGGTGTCGGTGACCGAGTCGCAGCCGACGGGCGAGACGGTCGTTACGGAAACTGTGCGCACTGAAGCCCCGAAGCCTTCCAAGAAGACGAAAACGCCAGGCGAGCGCTTCCAGCGGGTTAAGTCGGACCAGGCGACGTACCTAGACGACCGCTTGCGCGATATGAGCTATGCGGCCAAGGTACGTGATGTGCTTATGCAGTCGGGTGCCGGTGACTATGGAGCGCGTGCAAATGCCGACCTGATCGTTACGCAGGGCAAGGCGTTCACGAAAGAGAAAAACAAAAAGAAGCGCGGAAGCTATCGCGGTGGAATTATTGACCAGGGGTCGCAGTACGTGTATGCACTTACACCAGTTCCATCAAATTCACGTACGATGACGAATAATTGTCGTCACATGGCGCGCTCGGTGCGCTCGCCGTGTGCTATTGCCTCGTCCCACATGCCAATCTCGAGCCGGGTGGCCCTGTGTGAGTAGTCATCACGTACGTGTTCCATATTTCCTGGAGATGGTCCGTCTCTTCCACCGACGGCATCACGCGCGCGGCGCAGCGCTCGAGCATCTCCAGGGTAGATCGGACGGCGCCTTGGAAGTCGTCTCCACCGTATTCATCCAGCCACGCCTCGTAGCTGGGGTCACGCGGGCCGCTCGGGGTGGGGTGCCGCTGGCGCTGCTCCTTGAGCCAGAGACCCACCTCGGCGTACCCAAATGCACACGACGCGACCGACACGAGTAGCGGGAGAATGCCTTCACGGGCCATGTCCATCACGTAGCGCGTGTAGGCCATCGTTGCGCGACTCTCTTCGGTGCGCTCGAGCTCGTCACGCGGAATGCCAGCGCGCTCACACACCGTCGCATGAACTCGTGTCTCGTCAATGGCAGCCCGCGAAATAGTGAGATAGTCACGCAAATCGTCCGGCGAGCACGTCGGATCGGAGGCCGCCGCGGCCCACACG